GCCCGCAATGAATTATTGTGGGGGTTAATTGTATCAATTGTAACTCAAATTTACATTAAGGTGTTGCTAATGAGTTATGACATCGATTAGTTCCATTTATCTTATTAACTTAAAGTCTCATGTTAGTAATAATATCATGTTAGCCACGTTGGACTTTAAACTAAAAATCATATATAACGTTAATCTTCTATTAGTTCAACGACGTAACTCACCACCTAAAGTTAATGTGTTTTGGGAAACATATTTTGACTATTCAGAGGTGAAAAAAAAATGTCTTCACGTGTTTTAATGAGCCGCCGATTTGAACGTGAGTATTTTACGTGATATGTTCATAATTGAACTAATGAAGGACTTCTTTGAGAAAACATTCCTAAAATTTTATCGATTTTCAATCGGTCAAACTTTAGTTTTAATCCCACCTTTCATGGACCTACAATTTTTATAAATATTTATCAAAATTTGCTAAAACTTTTAGGAAGAATTTTTTCAAGCAATCCTATAATGTTGAAGTCCTGTATGATATTTAGTTGAAAAATGAACAACAAAGTAACATGATGATATAACTAAAACGAGCTTTGAATTTCATGGTTTAAAGTTGAACAACCATTTGTATAATTAACCCATTATTTGCGCCTTTAGTTAAGAAACAATATAAGGAGGTCTACTAAAAGCATAACCTGCGGACATAAAAGAGGCCGCGCAACCGACATGGAAGCGTCGGCCCCGCCGACTTGCCACCCCAACTGTCCCTTTCTCGAAACCAATGCCTAACGTTAAAGAGCATCAATACCACGCATCAAAATCCTAGTAGCTTGATTTACTGGTGTACAAACATATCATTTATGGTTACAGAGCATTTGAATTCCATTCCTGGATATTTTAATATTTTACTCACCTCTTATATTCACTGTGTCGTGGAACCCAATTCACATTGTTTTAGAAATTTGTCAATGACACGTAACTTGTCCCAAGGCTTCTTTCCACAAATCGAGCAAAAAGTGGAATAGAAGAAGGTTATGACCTCGACATCGGCAGTTGTGGCTTGTGGTATCATTTCTCTAGTTGTCAATACAATTGGGCATGGCTTTACTTGTAGCATAACCTGAGGACATAAAAGAGGCCGCGCAACCGACAAGGAAGCGTCGGCCCCGCCGACTTGCCACCCCAACTGTCCCTTTCTCAAAACCAATGCCTAACGTTAAAGAGCAACAATACCACGCATCAAAATCCTAGTAGCTTGATTTACTGGTGTACAAACATATCATTTATGGTTACAGAGCATTTGAATTCCATTCCTGGATATTTTAATATTTTACTCACCTCTTATATTCACTGTGTCGTGGAACCCAATTTACATTGTTTTAGAAATTTGTCAATGACACGTAACTTGTCCCAGGGCTTCTTTCCACAAATCGAGCAAAAAGTGGAATAGAAGAAGGTTATGCCCTCGACATCGGCAGTTGTGGCTTGTGGTATCATTTCTCTAGTTGTCAATACAATTGGGCATGGCTTTACTTGTGCTTGGTCCAACAAAATTTGGATGACCAGGCCAACCCAAATAAAACTTGTCCTCTCAATATAATTGGGCCAATACCTTGACCCTTTACGGTGATAGAAGCCCAATTATTACTACCCGTTTAACACGCTCTCTTTTCAATTTATCCTCATGGATGGGAAATAAAGTGTCACATTCTCGCATTATGTGTTACAGATTTGATCGACCATCTGTATTCCGTTCTTTATATCATCCTAAAATTTATGTTACAACTTAGAGAAAGAAGGGATCGTTCTCGCATGTCCCATCATTATGGTAATCGAATCACACCGCAATGCAATTTGCTTTACTAAGACTGTCACATACAAACATGTTGCTTCTTTCTCTATTGTGGAGGCCACTAACATTGTTTTTATGCTAAAGAGTACTGTCAAAGTCATTGACAGATCTACAGTGGGATTGCCTGCGCCCACACTCATTTTAAATCCAAAATTTTGTACAACATTTTCAATTTTTTTTTAATATTTTTCAATTTTGCCCTCAATTAAAAGTTTTGAAATTTACTCCCGTAACTCTGAAATTCTAACTCCGCTCTTGGTCAAAGTATAGCAAATCAGTACACTCTTTCGATCAATCTTAATACTACTCGTCGGTGATAATTACATGAAAAGAATCTTAAATTTAAGGAAAAAGCCTCAATAACAGGAAATTCCTTATTAAACTCATATCGATGCAGATCTGGCAAAACCTAATTCTCTTGCTTTTTGTTTTTTTTTCATCTTCCAATTTTTTTATTCCATGCATTGTCTGTCAAAATTTTCCGTTAAGATTTTTTTGTACTATAGCATTATTTTAAATATAATGCTATAAACATTTTTTAGAAGCACGTGCCCGTACAAAAATATCAATGAGCTATCATTTCAATATTCAATTGCGTTGGGCAAAGGGCATCCTCACATGTCAATTCATCCATGTTTTCTTTTAATATCACAAATGCAATTCCCTATAAACAAGGTAACTCAATAATTGCATTTTTCATTATTGTTATGCCCCCTCTTATGGCACCTTAGCGCGTCTGTTTCAAACGCAGCCGAAGCGTGCAAAGAGGGAGGCGTGAGGTCACCAAAGTGATACAACTCGAGGCGTCTACATGTTCTAAGATGTCGCTTCCGAAATGTAAGGAGATCGAGGCATTATGTTGTGAAGAAGAGGAGAAGCACCTCTCCATTGCCAATTTTACAAATTGATCTTTTGATCAAGATTGTCTTTATCTTTGAGAATGATTGATATGACATCTTTGTCATACGTCAATTCAAAATCAGAAGAA